GTATAAATTATGCATTTATGCTTAGAAAGTTCTCCCGTCGCTTCAATGTTGAGTTTCTTCTCTTTCTCCCTCGTTGCCTTTGCTTCCTTCCCATTATTATGGAATTGTAAAACTGAAATGCCATCGTTGTATTGTCTGTGCTGTAGTGATGAATAGACTTCCTTTATGTTGTGGTGGATAAATTCGAAATTGCCTTGGAATCAAATGTTGTTTGTCTTTTTATATTTATTAACATTATCATTTTGTTGCAATTGCCTAAAAAATGAAATTGTGAATGATGATTAGCTTTATGTGATTTGTATGCTCCATTACCTTTTAGACTACTAAATTAGTAGTTAGTCAGACATTATATAATTAAACGTATGGCAGCACATGTGGACTGAAGCTTCTTTCTTTATATCTTTGTTGAATAGTGTCAATGGAGTTGAAAGGTTTTGTATCTTCTCCTATGTGGTCTATATTTTGCCTAGACTGCCTTTTGCAAGTGCTCACATCCAGTCTGCGCGTTGCCTGTTAAAAAATAAAAAGGAATGAGACCTTGCTGATGTTTGTTTTCCAGTGTCACCTCTATGGTGTTTTCCAGCATCCAATCTCCTATGTTTTGAAGAGAGTATGATTTTAGTTAATTAATGGGTCGACCTTATAGTGGACTTTGATTCTTTGAAGAATAATGAACCCTTCATTCCTTCTCCTACCAACACAAAATTTCTCTGGTCAAAATATTCTTTTTTTGTTACTTCATTAGTAATAACGAAACTGGACTTTGGACTTTGAATACAATTTACTTAAGTGTCTATTGGTAATAATGTCTCCAACATCTGTGTGTTTTGCCCTATTCATAATTTCCCCAGCAGTAAATACAACATGTACAACAGAAAATGACATTTTCTTGTGTCCCAAGGAACGCTTTGTCACTTTCAGCAACGTTATTAGGATGCTGTAACGTTGTGGGTTCATTTCCTTGCTGTCCCAAACCCACGAAGGTGCATGAAATAGTTTATATGGTATAATTCAAATTTCAAAAGTCAAACATTTTAACTTAAACTGTAATTTATGCATGAAATTTTTATTAAAATTTTAAAAAATTACTATAGATCCAAAAATTTAAAAGATATATGAAATATTATGGACAAAAAGAGACTTATTTAATTCTCTACATTCAAAATCTGCCATATAAATTGAGATGCGGGAGTGACAAGCTGCTAGTTTCCATGTTTGTGCAAGCATTCATGCGGCAATCTTTGCCTAAGAAAAAAACGAAGAAGTAAAAGCATCCCTCTAGCCTCTATCTTATGAGTTCAAAATCTAGGATAGAGACATCTGTATAAATTGTTTAGTCCCTGGTTGTGAACAGAGGCGTAGCAAGAATTTTAGGTCATTGGGTTCTAAGCTTTTAAAAAGAGTAACGATTTTTAACAAGAAGTAACAATCGTCAATTAATTTAAAGTTTTACAATATTGTATTTTTTAAATACAAATTTTGAGCACTCTTAGTATAATCATCAATATTGTTCTAAGTAAGATTAATATTATTAAATTCAGCATTAATATTTTGACAACTAAAACAAATATTTTACTAGTTTTACTATCATCTTGAACCACTACAGCCATCAAAAGTTCAAATTTTAAGAAGCAAACAATAATTATTTTAATATAATCAATTATCTGTTAGAAAATAAAATACAAAGCGGAAGCATTGCAGAATTATACATCTTAGATGAATATAGACAACAATCACAAATATGTATCACGTACAAAGTATGCTGAAAAATTAACTTAGGATTACCGCTTGAAGCGTGAAGTAAATCTGACTCCATTTCTATTGTCTTTTACAGTGATCTCAAATTAACAACTGAACTCTCTTAATACTTGGGTGGATAAGTATAGTACAGAAAACTAAATTGTGTTTCTAGGTTAGAAAAATCCATACTTATAGAGATATCTTCCTAATTCAAAAAAAGGAGTCTTTTTCATCAAGAAAAAGAAACACACGTTTCTTCTCCTAAAAAAGAATGCTTCCTTTTTCTTAGTAAATAAGATTCCGAGTTCTAGTTAAATTAGACACTAGAGGGATCATAAAATTAACTACTCAATGATTAATTTCCTTTAGAGCAATACTTGACTTATTTCATGTGCTAAATTCATAAATCTACCGGCCGAATTTACCCATGAAAATTTATTAGTTTCTCATAAAAAGGTGTATCATCAATCTCTAATATTGAGATATTAATTCCATCAACTAAGAATTATTTCACCAATATATATTAGTATCATCCAATCTACCCGTCATATTAACCTATCTCAGAATCTAACTTTTTAATAAATAAAACTATAATGAATATACACAGATCATAATCCTAACATCAAGATGAAGAATATAAGTACATTTAACAGTTTAGAGAATATGATTTTATAAATAAGTTTAAAACATTTATCTCTGCACGATCTCGTTCAATACATACAAAATGCACTAGCGCGAGAAGTTAGAACTGTACAATTCTCATAATCAAGATAAATTACATTTATTCTCATGCTATAATCTTTTTGATGGTTTGTCCAAATTTCCATCTATGGTTGTGAACTATAACTTTTAACTTATAAGAACCGATAATTTAATTTTTTGTACATAAGCTTAAACTCCATACACCAAATCATCTACTTATAAACGAATTGATCTATTTAATGTAACACTTTATTATATTGAATAAATAAATAAATAAATAATTTTTTAATAAATAGTACTATATCAAAATGAATGGTTAATAGTATATCCTAACAATCTCCCATTTAAACTCATAACCATGCACCTACAATTCTAACACATTCCTTTAACATGTTTATCCAAAGACGTTTGCGATAGGAGAAGCTCTTGAATTGTTCACCTCGCATGAAACCCGACAATGGCCCAACTGGAATGCATTGGCCAAAGACTTTATCGATCGATTCGCTTACAATGTAGAAATTGTTCCAGATCGATACTCTTTCGAAAAGATAAAGCACAAAACAACCGAGAGCTATGGGGAGTTTGCCTATAGGTGGAGAAAAGAAGCGGCAAGGGTGAGACCACCTATGTCTGAAAAGGAAATTGTAGAAGTGTTTGTGCGGGTGCAAGAGCCGAGTATTATGATCAAATCTTGTTGCTCGTAAGAGCAAAATTTGCCGAGATAGTCAAAGTTGGTGAGACTATTAAAGATGGGTTGAAAACGGGAAAGATAGCTCGTGTTGCTGTATCACCCGAATCATCATGTATGTTGAAGAAGAAAAGAGAAGAAATTGCTGCTGTTTCATATTGGGGGAAAGAAAAACCCTAGAAGCTCGTTATATTCCCAAAATTCCTACCAAGTTTGATACACGCAAGCTAGTCATCCCAATAATCCTCCAATTTATTAGAATGCTACCTCCACTTATCCGAATGTCCAAGATCCACTATACAAAAGTCCACCCCCCCAATTACCAAAATCTATCTCCCATTTACCCAAATCATCCTCCACCCTACCAAATTCCATCTCCCTACCAGAGTGTTTCTCCCAACTGTGCTAACGTACAATCGAACTACCGAGCACCCCCTCTTGCGTATCAAGTCCAAGATCCAATGTATCAAAATCCCAACCCAAAGATCCAAGTTCCAATGCCAAACTACCAGACAAACTCATATCCCAGAAATCAAGCTCCCCGTCCGAATAATCGAGGTTATCAACAGATGCCTCCTCCACAAGGAATTTATGATTCCCCTCGAACATAGTTCAAGAAGAAACCTTCGAGAAATTTCACCATGCTCGGATAAAGCCGAATAAAGTTGTACGAGCGACTGGCTGTGGCCAGATATATCCACCTAGTGGGGCCCGAACCCTTGGATATCAATTCAAAATTCTATAAGCCATATCAGAGATGTGCTTATCATTCCAACAGCGTTGGGCATGATACTGAGGACTGTATCAACCTCAAGCACAAGATTCAGGACTTAATTGATTAAGAGGTGATTTCTCTCCAACCAGCTGCACCTAATGTCAATACCAATCCTTTGCCGAATCATGGAGGCGGAAACGTCAGTATGATAGAAACATATAAGGATTGGTGTGGGACGAAAGTTATAACTCCAATCGTTCAGGACGAGTTGGAAAAGTCTGTAGTTTCCTTGAGAATAAAAGAGAAGAAAGAGTTCGTTATCTTGACACCCGCAGAGGCTATTGCCTTGGTGCCATCAAAAACTCTGATCAAGACAAAATTTGTGATTGAGACTGTTGTAGCACAAGGTATGACTCTATCTGGAAGATGTTATACTCCTGAGGAGCTTGCTCGCGTAGGTCAAAGGAAGGACCAAGCTAAAAGGCCAATAAGTGAGGGTGAGGCAGAGCAGTTCTGGAGATGCAGCCGAAATATTATTCTATTGTCAAGCATTTGGAGAAGACTCCAGCCCAGATCTTTGTATGGGCCCTGCTGATGAGTTCTCAATCACAACCGCAGGCTTTGATGAAGGCCCTAATGATTTGTATGTACCCGCAGGAACAAGCAGGGATAACTTGGCCTCTATGATTCACCAGGTTATTCGAGGGCATCAAATAAGATTTTGTGACAATGAGCTGCCTTTTGAAGGGAGGTCGAACAACAAGGCGTTGCACATCACTGTGGTATGCCGCGAAAAGGTCGTAAATCGCGTTTTGGTGGATGATGGATCTGGTTTGAATATTTGCCCGTTGTCAACGTTGAGGCAG